AAGATAAGTTTTGATAAACCATTTTCAAACAAAAATATACTTTTCTACGAAGCAACAATTGACAACTCCTCTTTGCATGTTTAAAATTTGTGTATATGTCAAAAACATAAATTTTAAAATACGTTTTGAAGTTGGTTGTCCACCTGACGAATACCTGTTTAGGCTGGGAAATAGCCCTCTAAGTGAGGTTCAAGACACACTTCTAGACGAGTGGCGGGTTCTATATATTCGGGTGACCGAGTAGCCTTCGTGGACCCTCGAGAATAAATATAGCTGGCCTAGTCCCATACGAGTGCTTGCGGTCCCCCTCATCTGAATCTTCTTTTTGTTTTATCGAAGTTTTGGGACAAGGCACTCATGTTACTTTTCCTTTCTTTCAGGATTTCTCCGCGATTTTTGAGGATTTTCTTTTACTCGAGTCTTTTCTCGTTGATTCTCTCGAGTTTCTCCACTTTTCATCGGGTTTCCTGGACGACGTTTCTTTCGGACTTTGCTTTTTGAAATGCATTTATGTTTGCTATACTTAAGGACGTTTGTTATACTTAAGGAACAGCGGATCTCACGGGTGTACAGGTTTGCTTTACATTTTATAGTAATTAATTTTCCTGTTTCTATCTGCTACTGCTCTTCTTATACAACATGTTATAACATTTCTGTTTCTACCTGCTAGCGTACCGTACAGCATGTTATATTATTTTTATTTCTACTTGTTACTGTCCTTCTTGTATAGCATGTTATACTGCTCTTGTTTTGTCTACTACTGTTCCACGTGCATTCTATTGTTTGTTCCTGCATCGCACACTATACATTATATAACTTCAAACATGTTTCCTTTTTGTATAGGATGTTTAGAGGACTACAACCATAGGGCCGTTTGATTTAACACTATAACTAGACACCCTAGAAAACTTAAACTCGTCATGTCGGGGAGCTTGGAGCTAGCGCGGTGGGCAGCACGGCCATCTTCAACAGCAGAACATGTCTTCCCCAGCAAAATCATCCCTTTTCTTAGAAATTAAACAACAATCCATAAGATTTCGAGGTTGTCTGTCTAGCGCAACATAAGTCCTCCACCTTTTCTTTAGGCATTCGTATAGCTCTGCTGTACGATTTAAGCACTAACTCGTTCTAGGTTCCGAGGTTGTCGTCCGATACGACGTAAACCCTCATATCTTCTAGGCAATTTGTGTGACCCTGTCATGCAAATATAAGCCCTAATTAAATAAAATTGGCGGGATGAAACATTTTAATAATCTCTTCTCATAACTGGAGCCGAATCGTAGGATAGACTGGGAAGTCACTGAGGTTCTCCTCAGGATCCGTGGCCTCCCCCAGTTTCTCTTCATTTGGATTCCTCAATAATGTTCCAGATTCGAGTTTTTCCCCTTTCACACTTTTTCGTCCGATTTTGTTGAAAAGTCTTATCCTTTTGACCTCTTTGAAGATAATATTCCCTGATTTTTATCGAGAGTTTTCTCAGGTAACTTTGTTCCACCGCGGGAAAACTTGGAAAAAAAAAAGAATAGGTAAATAGCAAAAAATTTAGTCAAATTTCAATAGTGTACTAAAGTTAAAAGTTAGAAGTATTTTATTTTTTGAAACCTCTCTTCATTTGAACCATTAGATTTTATGAATTTGGGTAAATTGGGCCTCAAACTTTCAAACTTGTCCTTTGCTTTGAACAAGTAATTTATTTAGAGTATCATTTTAGATTTTATAAATATGTGTGTTTTTTTTTTTTTTATATTTTTTTAAAAATATATATATATATATATATATATATATATATATATATACACGTAAATTAAAACGTCCTTCCGAAGCGGGCGATGGGATTTCAATTCCGGCTGCCGACAGCTTCCTACGGACGACCCCAACACAACCTCTTTTTTTTAGTGCCGACACCACCACCACAACTACATAACCACAATCAGCATCTCAAACAACAGCCACCACCAAGAGCATAGAACCCACAGCTAGCATCCCAAACAACAGCCACCACCACACCCATAGAATCCACAACCACATCACAGCACAGCCAACATCCCAAACAATAGCCAGCACACCAATCATAGAACCAGACACACCAATCGAAAAACAAATCAAAAAATGAAACCACCCCAATTGACAATCAATCGAAAAAATAATCAAAAGACCACTAACTGAAAAACCAACAAAAATGGGTCAATCACTCGAGAACCAACAAGAGAACAACTAATCCCAAAATTTTAATGCTAGAGAGAAGTTTGAAGAGAACACCAAATGTTGAAGGAGAGGAAATGATCCAACCAAACAAGAGACACCGATCACGGACCAGACAAAAGGAAGTGACCGGGAGGAAGAAGCTCGATGCAATAATGAGAGAGAGGCAGAGGCTTGGCCGCAAGGGGGTAAGGTAGTGATAGGAGATGGTAATGGGGCCAGCTGTATAATAAGAAAAGCGGGTCGCGTCCACTGAACTTTGCGACGCGTTACAAGAAAACACTGAAACCAAACAAAAAAATGTCATCGCGGTTTGGGGATGTGCTGCTCGAAATAAGAAGCCCCAAACAAGGTCGTAGTCTTGATCAAATTTGCACCAAAAAAAAGAAATTTTTTCAATAAAAACAATAAAGCCTTTTTAGTTCTAGAACTTCCAAACATATACGTAGATGAAGGCAAATATTTGTTTGTATGAAATTTTTGAAGGGGAAAAAACAATATCACCCTAGGCAAATATTTGTTTGTATGAAATTTTTGAAGGGGAAAAAACAATATCACCCTATCGGATTTAAATTTGTCCATGGTGATGTGAGGAACTTGTAGAACTGGTGATTTTTCAACAACACCAAGAGTTATAAAGGTGAGAAAGAATAAGAAAAGGTTTTGGCAAAAGAAAAAAAGCTAAGAAAATTGTTATTCGTCAAGGTTTGAGAGTTCAAATTACAAAAAAAAAAAAATCCATGTGTCAAAATAACCCCTTGAACATCATATTTACAAAGCTTTGAGCACTATAGGGACGGTTATAAACCAAACTTATGCATGAAAAGGTGTACCTCACTTTCAAAAAATTATAAAAGTGTTACTTTTGATGTGATATTAGAGATTTGAGTGATAAGTGTGTAAATATGAAAATTTAGGTGTGAGATATGAAAATACAAAAGAATTGTGTTATGTACACAAATTTTCCAAGAAAATAAATATATCAATACATAATCCATTAAAAGCATGTGGACACAATGAATAAGATCTCGGTTGGCACATATGGAAGGTTTCTTAATGGATACCTTAAAAACTTCTACGGCCAAGTACTCAAGGTTACCGACAAATTGGAGAAATTATCGACCTTTTTCTATAACCCGGACAAGGGCCCCAAAGGTTAGAACGAGTGATAGTTATGTTAAGGTGAACACCTTTTAAAGTGAAGACGCGACGGCTTTAAAAAAAAAAATTAAAAGGTGGAGGTGGGTCAAGTGGCCAAGAGTCATCCATTAGAGTTTAAGCTACACTAAAATCTTTAAAAAGAGAGTTCTCACACAAGAGAATTCCATTAAGTTCCCCATTATATCCCTTTTAGAATTCTAAAAAGAAACCCAAATGTAGGATGATATACTAAACAAAATCAAGCAAAAAAACGAAAACTCTATATGGGAATTTATCCCAAGCCTCTGGGCTCTCATCTTTGGGTTTAAGACATTAATTCTCTTAAATGAATTCACCAAATCAGTCAATGGGTTGACCAAAACCGTCGGCAAGTTGACCAAACTCATTAGTCGACCCAACGTTAGCAAGACAAACCCACATGTTAGTCAATCGAAGTGCGCAAAGATTTCATATGACCTTCTAAATTGTTTGTTGTCAAGTAAATTTGTGCTTGTTGTGAAGGCACAAATTTATTCAGATCGAGTAACTTTAGCCTCTTATAGGTTCATCAACGTCCATTTTTAGATTAAAAAAATTATGTTTGATGAATTGTGGATATGACATTTTGCAAACTTACGATACAATATTATTTATCAAAAATGAAAATTAAATCATAATTGGAAAATGTATAAATTTTGAGCCATTAAATAAGAATTCTAAAAAGTTAAACCAAGCAGGAAAATTTAATCTCGCATTGTGAGGAGATGCATTCCGTGTTAACATTTCGCTCATCTTATTGGGGCCCAAATAAAAAAGAAACAGTGAGTTATTGTTTACAATGTTAAACTAAACTATTGGAAATTAAAATGCATGTTTGTCTTTCTTTTTCCTAAAGCAAAATCAATTCCTTTATACCAAATAAACATCGTGCAACAATTTTATTGTCAATAAAATTAAATAAACCGGCTAAAATAAAATCAAAATAAACAAAGACTGCTTGCCTTGTCTTGCACAAAAGGCTTCAGATAATCACTTAATGTTATGCTAGTAATCTGGATAAAGAGAAAACATAAGCTTGGTGATTGAATGATAGTAGTTCATAATAAAGTATTTAAAAGAATGCTTGCTGTAAAAAGCTTAGATAAACAAGCTGAAAGAAGTCATAGAATCGAACATAACAAATATATATTTATGCTATTTTCAAAATGACTTGGTTGATATTCAGAATAATGCGGAATAAAGCGGAACAAAAAAACATTTTTCATTAATATGAGAGGGGGTATAAAACACTTACACGAATTCTATAACAGAAAAGATAATAAAAAGAAAATAATATGAAAGGTAAGCCATATCACTTAATATCTCCAATTAATAAATGCATATTAATTATTCGGAGCTAAGGAAATTGCATAAAATAAAAAAGTCAAAAATAGGAAGGGAAACAACACCTAATCCAAGGAAATAAATATAAAATAGTAAAGGAAATAACTCATAATCTAAGAAAATAATTTATTCCTCATAATTTTTCACAGGAATAAATTATTTCTTAATATAACTTCTAACACTCTTCCTCAGGTTGAAACAAAGTTGAAAATCATATTCAACATGGATTTGAAAATATCAAACAATGAGCGAGCAATATCCTGTGAAGTAACTTAAAGTCTTCATGTCGTACTTTGATTGTCATTGACTTCAATTCATGCAGTGTCTATAGGTATGTAAAAGACTTCTACAGGTAATATTGTAGGTCAGTTTGTAGGGAAGTAGACAATTGTGGTTGTCTTTTAACTGCAGTTTCTGCAGTATCTATAGGTAGACAACGCTCTTACAGGTAACATGGCAAGGAGTTCGCAGGAAAAGTTGACTTCTAGTTGGCTACGGTTGTCTTTGACTACAGTTCCTGCTGTGTCTGTAGGTAGGCAGAAGTCTCCTACAGGTAATGTTGCAAAGAAGTAGACAACATGCAGAAAAAATAGACTTCTAATTGACCGCGATTGTCTTTGAATACAGTTCCTGCAGCGTTAGTAAGTAGCCAGAAGACTCCTGCAAGTAGTGTTATAGGGGAGTTTGCAGAGAAGTAGATAACCTACAAGAAAAAGCTACACGGTATGTCCTGCAAAGAAAAAATTAAAAAACAAAAAAAAAACTTCGGAGGGTTGCTAAGGAAAAAGCTCTAGAGGAGAGTCTGCTACAGGAAAAAGCTCTAGAGAAGGGTCTGCTGCAGAAAAAAGCTCTAGAGGAGGGTCTGCTGCAGGAAAAAGCTCCGAAGGAGGGTTTGCTACAATAAGAATTCTGGTGGACTTGATGCAGGAAAAATTTTTGGATGGCCTAATGCAGGAAAAATGTTTCGGAGGAGTGCCTGTTACAAGAAGAATTCTGGTGTAAAATCTGCTGCAGAAAAAGCTTCCAGAGGAAGGTTTGAAACAGGAAAAAACTCTGGAGGACGGCTTGATGCAGGAAAAATTTCGATGGAGAACCTGTTGCAGGAAAAACTCCGATAGCAAAGAAAAAATAGAGAAAGACCTGCATAGAGCTTTTTGGCAGCAGAGAAAAATGTAGACAAAGAAGGGCATGCGGTTGAAATTTTCATTCAATGATACATCCAGTCTCGCCTCTGTAATAAATTTCCTCAAATTATTTTGAAAGCAAACCAAAGATGAATTCCTCTATGACAAGCCTCCCTTTGTTTACACAATCCATGCATGTGAAATGGCGGATGATGCTACAGAGGTAGCTACTACAATTTGCAACCAACAAGAATATACGGCCTGTAAGAAGGTGCCAGTAAGGTCTGCAGGATAGCTTTCCAACCGGAAGAGATGATTTACGATTGTTAGGGACCTTCAAGGAAGAGGTCCAACTACTTGAAATCATGCAAGAAAAAAAACCTACTGAGGTAGATTCGACGGCATTAAAAAATTGTGGGAAGATCGGTAGGTGAAACCATGCATTGGTTGATGGCCAATGCCTCCAGGTTCACAGATCACAACTGGGATGGTGAGCTGGCCTCCATAAGTATAGCGGAGCATGCCACAATTATTAGATATCTAATTGAAGGCAAGCGAAAAAAAGCCCATGTTCATACCCTCAATAACAGGACTCAAGCCAGTCATTGGAGTTCCAATGCCTACGCCTGTGAACGAAATTTCAACAAGGGGGGTACCAAGAATCCTCAAGTCACCATACTTGGAGGCTAAACCTCCTATCACCTTCTATGACCCGTCATAGTGACCAACTTATCATTCCATCTCTTCATCCAGGCCCTCTCTTAAAGCCTCAAATATTAGAAGCTCAAGGCCTAGTTTTGAAGCAGCAGAGGTACTGGTAGTATCAGCCATGGCTGCAACTGCATTTGGAATTAGGAAATTTCTGACAATCCTAGAAAAGATATTTCTGACAAAACAAAATTTCATTAGGTTCTCCATTATCTCACTTTTACGGTACGAAAAAAATCTCCTCATGTAGGATGATATGTCAATCGACATTCAGCAGAAAGATGAAAGGTATAAAGATTTTATATGACCTTTTACTTGTTTATTGTCAGGTAAATTTTGCATGTTGTTAAGAAACCAGTTTATTTATATCGAACAAGTTTAACATATTATAGGTACATTATGATCCATGTTTTAGATAAAAAAATTTATATTTAATGAATTAGAGATAGGACATTCTCCAAACAAAAGATATAGTATTCTTCATTAAAAATGAAAATTAGATCATAATTGGATATTGTATGATTTTCGTGCCAATAAAAAAGATATTAAAAAAAAAACCAAACAAAAAAATTTAGCCGTAATTTGTGAAGAGAAACATTCCAAGTTGACAATTTGCTCATTTTATTGTAGCCCAAAAAAAAAAAGAAATGGTGAGTTGTTGTTTACAATGCTGAACAAAAATTATTGGAAATTAAATTGCATTTTTGTATTTTTTTCATGATAGAATTTTAATTCTATTATAGCAGATAGTCAGTACGATTAAAATTACTAGTGGAAATAAAATTAAAAGAAATAGAGATTGCTTGCCTTTTCTTGCACAAGGGACATCAGATAATCATTTAATGGTGTGACAGTAGTCTGAACAGAGTAAAAATAAGATTGGTGATTAAATGATTGAAGTAGTTCAACTAACACTTGCTATAAAAAACTTAGATAAACAAACTGAAAGAAGTCAAAAAGTCAAGCATAGCATATACATCAAGATGCCATTTTCAAAATGTCTTTACAATGTCTTAGTCTTGATCAAATTTGCATAGAAAGAAAATTTTTCAGTAAGATTATAACAATAAACCCTTAGTTCTAGAACTTCTGAATACACAAATAGATGAAAGAGAAGGCATGTTTGTATAAAATTTTTAAAAGGGAAAAAAAACAAAGGCATATTGTCGGATGTAAATTTATCCAAGGTGATGTGCAGAACTTGTAGAACGGTGATTTTTCAATGATACCAAGGGTTAGCGAGGTGAGAAAGAAGAAGAAAAGGATTTGGCAAAAGAAAAATATTAGAGTTCAAAGGACTATAAATTTCAAACGTCAAAATGCCTCCTTTAACATCTTATTTATAAAGCTTTGAGCATTATAGGGACAGCTATAAAATAAAAGTATGCATGAAAAGGTGTATTGCACTTTTAAAAAATGATAAAAGTGCTAGTTTTAATGTGACAATAGAGATTTGAGTGCTATGTGTGTAAATATGAAAGTTTAGGTGTGAGATATGTAAATCCATAAGAATTAAGAATAAGTATGTAAATTTTCCAGGAAAATACAAATATAAATACATGATTTGACCATTAGAAGCATGTGGAGATAGTGAATAAAATTTTGGCGGAAACATATGGAAGGTTTTCTTGATGGATACCTTGGAAACTTCTACAACTAAGTAGTCAAGGTCACCAACTAATTGGAAGAAATCACCAAGTTTGTTCTATAAACTGGACAAGGACCCCCTAGGGTGGAGCAAGTGACCTTTAGGCTAAGGTGAACACCTTCTAAGCTAAAGAAGTGGCAACTTTGAAGAAAAAAATTAAAAAAGGTTGAGGCGGTTTAGGTGGCCAAGCGTCAACCATTAGAGTTTAAGCAAGGCTAAAATCCTTTAAAAGAAAGTTCTCACAAATGAGAATTCCATTGAGTTCCCAATTATATCCCTTTTAGTGTTCGGAAAAGAAAGCCAAATGTAGAATGATATACCAAATGAAATATTGCAAAGAGATGAAAGCACTATATAGGAATTTCTCCCAAGTTTCTAAGCTCTCATCTTTGAATTTAAGGCATTAATTCTCCTAAATGAATTGACCAAACCTATCAACAAGTTGACCAAACCCATCAGTCGACCCAACATTAGCAAGACAACTAGCCACATGTTAGTCAGTAGAAGTGTGCAAAGATTTTACATGATCTTTTAAATTGTTTATTGTCAAGTAAATTTGTTCATGCTGTCAAGGCACCAATTTATTCAGATCGAGTAATTTTAGCCTATTATAGTTTCATCAAGGTCCATGATTTAGATAAAAAAAATTATGTTTAATGAATTTGGGATATGACATTTTGCAAATCTAAGATATAGTATTTTTCATTAAAAATAAAAATTAAATCATAATTGGATAGTGTATAAATTTTGAGCCAATAAATAAGAATTCTAAGAAATTAAACCAAGCACAAAAATTTAACCGCATTTTGTGAAGAGATGCCTTCCAAGTAGACATTTTGCTCATTTTACTGTCGCCCAAACAGCGCAAGGAATGGTGTATTGTTGTTACAATGTTAAATTAAAATTATTGGCAATTAAAATACATTTTTTCTTTTTTTTTTCCTAAAGGAAATTTGATTCTGTTATAACAGTTGTAACATCGTGTGATAGTTTTATTGTTTTCAACAATAAAAAAACTGGTTGAAATAACATCAAAAGAAACAGAGATTGCTTGCCTTGTCTTGCATAGGAAACTTCAAATAATCACGTACTGGTATGCTAGTAATCTGGATAACAAGAAAACATTAGCTTGGTGATTGAATGACAGAAGCAGTTTAGAAGAAAATATTTTAAATGAACAATTTGTTTTAGAAAGCTTTAATAAACAAGCTGAAAGAAGTCAAAAAATCAAACAAAATAGATATATATTTATGCTATTTTCAAAATGCCTTAATAAAATCTGAGCCTTGATCAAATTTACACAGAAGAAAAAAAATTTTTCGTTAAGTTCAAACTAATAAAATCTTCTTTTGTAATAACAACCTGTTAATTAAAATTATTATTAACAACATAATTAAAAAAAACAAATTCACAGGTGTCGTTCGAGCATCACTTCTACCGCCCGCGGGAAGTATAGAGAGCTTATCCCCCTCATCTCTTTCCCATTCGAAACACGGCAGAGGAAACGAGAGAGCCGTGAGAGAGACAGAGAGAGTGTCAGCAACAGAAGAACAGAGAAGAAGGGAAAAGAAGAGGAGGAAAAGGAAGGACGAGGAGAAAGGAGAAGGTGTTGAAGCTAAAGAAAAATAAAAGGAGTGATCGCATACCTCTTCCGTAGCTGTGCGAGGCCTTTTCGCATTCGAAAGACGCTCGATCGAGCACCTGAGGGCTCGAGTGGTTCTGTCTAGTGCCGCAAGCCGCAAGTGAAAGGAAGAGGAAGAAGAAGAAGCTTGATTGGGAAACTGGAGGACTCGAGCTGCTCACCCGAGCCTTCCTCTTGTACCTTCGACGAACCATCAGTCTTGCGAGCGTAGAAGGGAAGGGAGGTGAAGGCGAAACTCTTCTCCATGCACCCTCGACCGAGCAAACGGAGAAAGGGTAGGGTTACCTTGCCCTAATTTTTGCATGGAAAGGAGGGAAGGCAGTGAGCGGCGCAGGGAAGCATTCCTCGCGCATCGTCGACGGGTCTTGGTTAAGAAAAAGGGAAGGGAAGGCTGAGCGTTTTTATCCTTGCCGAGCGGATCTTTTCGCATTCGAAGCTCGAGCAACGAAAATGTTTGTCCGGACTCGGGCACATGCGGACTCCACTATGGTGCATAAAAAAATATATTAAAGTGAACTCTAAATTTAACAATAACTCTAAAATAATTCAAAAAAATCTCAAAATAACTTCTACGCCTTTACTTCAATAACTCAAAAATAATATCACAAAGTTTATTTCCCGAGACTTAGGATTTAAGTACACATTATAAAGATATCCTTTTATGTATAAGAAAATAAGTGAGTAATATTTGAGATACATTGATTATGTATGAGTTGCAATGTAATAATATATGTGGACTACATGACTAGGGTATTACTGATAGTACTTGCGAAGATTTTCTGCATTCCAAGTCCGGAACAAGATTTTCCCATCTGAATCCTTGAGCTTAAAGGTTCCTAGCTTGATCATGGCAGCCACAATATATGGGTCTTCCCAGAGAGGTGATAGTTTATTGCGTTGGGGACCATGGTCGGCGGCTTCAATACTACGCAAGATCAAGTCACCAAGGGAAATAGGTCGAGGCTTGACTCTCCGGTTGAAGGGGCGAGCAACTCTTTGGCGGTAGGAAGCAGCTCTAAGATGGGTCACATCGCGTGATTCTGGGAGGAGATCCAAATGTTGTCGGAGATTTTCCTCGTTGTTATCTCAGTTGAAAGTCTTAACTCGTGGGTTTGGAACTCCGATATCAACTAGGATAACAGACTCAGTTCCGATACACAAGTTATATGGAGTTTCCCTGATTGGAGTTTGCGCGGTGGTGCGATAGGTCCAAAGGAAATTGTGCAGCTCTTCTACCCACTGCCCCCAACCTTCTCAAGACGAGTCTTCAACCCCTTGAGCACTGTCTGATTTGTCACCTTTGTCTGACCATTTATTTGGGGATGCGTCACAGCAGTGTGCACCAACTGAATTTGAAGATCCTTGCAAGATGATGTGAATTTCCTTCCAATGAATTGAGTCTCATTATCTGTGATAATCTTCGCGGGGAGCCTAAAGCGACATATGATATTTTTACAGACAAATTATTTTGGCATTTGCTTCTGTAATCTTAGCAAGCGGCTCTGCTTCTACCTATTTGGTGAAGTAGTCGGCAGCTAAGATGATGAAATTTCGTTGTCCAGTAGCTGTCAGAAATGGCCCTATGATACCTACCCCACATTGAGCGAAAGTCCAATGACTTAGAAAAGAAGTGAGTTCCACTGGCGGTGTATGTGTAAGATTCAAGTGTAGTTGGTAGTTCTTGCATTTTTGCACAAATTCTAATGCATCTTGCTTGATCGTGGGCCAATAGAAGACTTGCCTCATTATTTTAAGAGCAAGTGTTCTGCCACCAAGATGTTCCTCACATATTCCGAAATGAACTTCTCGCAGAGCGTAATCAGCTTCAGATGAAGGAAGACACTTGAGATATGGACCTACAAATGTCTTCTTGTACAGTTCATCCCCTATAAGGATGAAGTTGGCAGAAGTATAAGGATGATTTTGGCAGCCATGTGTCGGATACGAATGGATGTAGTAGCATCATCTAACACTGTTCCGTCTCGAAGGAAGGAGATGATAGAATCCATCTAAGATGGCTCCCTTGGGTCATTTATAGACAGTATCTCCCATGGGACATGGATGCTAAGAAAATGTATCTCCTCAATATACCTTCTTTTATAGAGATCTCCAGTTGTTAAAGTTGCAAGCTTGGAGAGGGCATCAGCTCGGGTGTTATGCTTCCGAAGTATATGAATGAGCTGGCATGTTGCTGGCATGTTTCAATTTGTTTCAATTTGGGCGAGAAGTGTTTTTACCATACCGAGATACTGCTGATGCGCGTCAAATTATCCTTCTACTTGGGAAGCAATGAGTTGAGAATTAATGTAGATAATCATGTTTCGTACTTCAAAGTTGATGACAAGCTTTAATCCGGCGACAAGTGATTCATATTCAGCAACATTATTTGTGGCTAGGAATTTCAAACAAAGTTCGTACCCCAAATGTATTTCTTTGGGGAGATGAGTAGTATTCCTGCACCAACTCCTGAGTTTCCAGATGCTCCGTCTACGTATAGTGTCCACTGAGGTGACCGTGGAAGATAAGAGGGTGGTTCATCAATAATAGGCACTGTACATTCTACCACAAAGTCGGCCCTGAGTTTCCAGATGCTCCGTCTACATATAGTGTCCACTGAGGTGGCTGTGGAAGAGAATAGGGTGATTCATGAGAGGTAGACATTGTACATTCTACCACAAAGTCGGCCAACACCTGTGATTTGATGTTTGGTCGTTGTAAATAGTGGATGTCAAATTCTCCTAATTCTACTGACCATTTAACTAATCTTCCCGATGCTTCTGGTTTTCGTAGGATACATTCAAAGGGAGTTGTGTGTAAACGCCAATAGTGTGAGCCTGAAAATACGGACGAAGTCTCCTTGCTAAGAATACCAAGGCTAGTGCAGTCTTGTCCGCCAACGGATAGCGATTTTCTGTATCAAAGAGAATCTTGTTAACATAGTATATTAGTTTCTCGACTGAATTTTCCATCCTGACAAGCACGGTCCTTAATGCATGAGGTGAAATAGCCAAATAGATATGTAACATCTCTCCTTGCATAGGCTTTAAGAGGAGGGGCGGTGAAGCCAAATATGTCTTGAGTTGCTCAAAAGCAAGTGACAGTCCTCTGTCCACCCAAAACCAGTGTTTTGAGCGACCAGAGGAAAATATGTTGAGATTTTCATACCTATTTTACATTGTTTTTGATGATATTGCACTTTAAATAAAGGTATTTTTAATGTTTTGTTGCAGGAATGATGAATTAGGGTCACTGAAGCAAAAAGATGCAAAAATGAGCGAATTTGGAGCGAAAAGGACCAAAATGTGAAGAATTGAACTAGGGCGCCGACGGCGAGATTTCCCAAGACTCCAGAATTAATTCATTAAGAAGGTCCGCCAACGACGCCCTAGAGGCCGCCGACGGCGAGCTCGGCGGCCCAATCAAGCTTTGGATAAGGCCAAATTTTGGAGGGATGTTTAGGCAACTCTTGGGAAAGCTCATCAACAACTTTAAAAAACTATTTTGGCCGAAAATTAGAGAAGAAGGAAGGAGCATGGAGGTTAGAAATGTTCCAATAATGTGTAAAATTGTGAAAAATTCTTCGAGAGGTTGTAAGAGTGGAGGGAAAGTGAGAGATTTTTTATTCATTGCTGCTTCGAAGAGGAGTTTTGTGTGTTGTAAAGAAAGGAAGAGATTTAGAGGAACTTCGAGGAGTTTTCTTGGGGAGAAATTTAGAGATAAGTTATTTACTTGTTGTGGTTTGTATGACTTTGATTTTATATATGAATTCGGAGTTTTGTTGTGTTTTCCTCATGAGATCTGAGTAGTTTTCTCTGTCTTTCTCCTTGTCTCGAGATTTGTGAAATGGTGATTTGAATTGGTGAAGCCATCAAAATGTTTAAGAAATTGTGATGACCTTTTCACTTCGATCTTAATTTACTTTTAATCTGGCGAATTGATTTGTTAAAATATGTTGAGTTTTACAACTAAAGTGAAGATTACATCCAAGATTCAGAGAGGTCAAAGCCCTTGGAAGTTTAGGGTTTTAACATCTATCTTTGTTTTAAAATAGTTTATTTCTCAACTAAAAATAAAAAAAAAAGTTTTTTTTAATAATAAATACAATAAAAGAAATAAATATGTGGAATATAAGTCACTCCTGGAGAGCATTGAATGGGGAATGAAATATGCTCATGTATGAAAATGAAAATGAAATATTTTTTAAAAAGTTTATATTTAGACAATAACTCTCAAAAATGAAAAGTATAGTAGAAATAAATGATAGTGAAGAAAATAGTTTCTTTATTGTTTTTTTAGTGCTCGCAGCCTTTTTGGGGTCTGTTTGGGGCAGCTTATTTGGTGCGGTGGCGTTTTGAAAACGCAACTGGCGTGTTTGGGTAAATTGTGTTTTCAAAGCTTATGCGTTTTCAAAACGCTGAAAACAGTATTTTCACACCGCACATGTCTAGGTGCGGTGGCAGCTTT